CCATCCATGCTGCAAATGGCAAGATCTCATTCTTTTTTATGGCTAATATGAAGTATATATAATATATTATATATTATATATATATATATCTCCATTCATCTATTGATCAACACCTGGGTTGTTTCCATATCTTTATTGCAATAAACATAGAAGTGCATATATCTTTTTGAATTGGTGTTTCTGTTTTCTTTGGGTAAATACCCAGTAGTGGAATTACTGGATCATATGGTAATTTTATTTTTAATTTTATATTTAATTTTCTGAGGAATCGCCATATTGCTTTTCACAGTGGCTGCACCAACAATTTGCACTCCCACCAACAGTGCAAAAAAGATTCCTTTTTCTCCACATCATCAGCAACATTATTTCCTGTTTTTGATTTTAGCCATTCTGACAGGTGTAAAGTGTATCTCATTATGGTGTGTAGAGATGGTGCGGAACTTTGTTTCTCCAAGTAGATCGTAAACTGAAGGCAGGAATTAGTACAGTCCCCAGCAGATGGGTGAAAACCCAGTTTCCCACCATATTATTAAGCTACCTGATTGATGTGGCTTAGGTTAAGTAGGTAGATATGATTTTAGTTTGGCAAGGAACTAATATAGAAGACTATGGAGTCATAAAACCTGAGTTTGAACCCTGGTTGCACCACTCACTGTGACTCTGGGCAATTTATTTAACCTCCCCAAATTTCTAGGTTCCAAAACTTTGAAATAAGGATAATACCAAAACTTTAAAAGGCTGCTGTGATTAGAGGAGATACTGTTATAAAGTAGCTAACATAACACCTGGTATATATTACTTGCTCAGTAAATGTGATTTCCCTTTTTGCTTGCTGCCTGTGCAATCCTACACAGCATTCAGTATTGTCTGATCACAATATATTACATCTGAAAACAGTATGCAGCAAACGTCTGTGTCTTTCAGCTCAAGAATAGGCATGTACAAAATCTCCTTTTCCAGTGTTTTTATTTGCACATTTAACATTCACAAATCATTTTACAGATTTATTCTTTCCACAGGTTCATTATTTACAGGAAAGATCAGGATTAAAATGGAGTGTTGAAGAGAACCAAGAAATTACCAGCAGTGATAGCATAGAGTACAAAGGCTCTGAAATAAACAGAACAGAGTGGACAAGAGCAGCGTGTGGCCACTTCCTACCAGGCGGAACCACTGACTTCATTAAGGCAAAGCCTTTACTCTGTTATTTCTCCCACCTAGTTTAACCCAAATAAAAAAGGATTTTATTCTCACGCTACTGCTCTCTGAGGTCTTAGAAATATAACTGGTATTATAAATGACTAGATGCATCCCCTGACTATAAACACCTGAATAAACAGGTTAAATTTTGATGCATTAACCATCCCTCTGGGAGAATAAAAATGAAAAGAGGCAGAAGTCGCTTGACTCTTAAGACTTTGGGAAAAAGGAGAGGAGAGAGAAAGAGAGTGTGTGTGTATGTGTGTTGGGTGGGGGGAAAGGAGAGAAAAGGGGCTCAAGGTGGGGGAGGGCAGCAAACCTAACTCTTTCCGATGTACAACTGCTCTTGTGTTTTCCGCAGATGCTAATATAGCGTTCTATTACTCAGGGGGGAAAAAAAAAAAGGATGAGAGTTATGTACCTCCAGTCAGTTGTAGGGTGTAATGGCTAATGACAAGGAGCATACCCTGGGAAAGGGGTACATTCATTTCATGTATATAACAATGCAATTCAAAACTGTCTTACTATGCTCCCATCTATAGTGTTTTCCTATTTTAAATCAATTTACTGTGTGACCTTGGGCAATTTACTTAACCCTTCTGTGACTCAATTTTCTACTTGTAAAATGAGAATTATAGCACTTTATGTTAAGGAGTAGAGGAGATACATAAAAAGCACTTAAGAATAGTGCCTGGCCAAATCAACAGAGACAGAAAGCAGATTGGTGGTTGCCAGAGGCTGGGGAGAAGGGGAAAAGGAAGTGATGCTACTGGATATGGGATTTTATTGTGACGTGATGAAAATGTTTTAAAATGAACTAGTGGTGATAATTACACAATTATGTGAATATACTGAAAAATTACTTAATTGTACATCACTTTAAAAGGGTGAATTTTATGGTAAAAGTATATCTCAATAAAGCTGTTATAAAAATTCTTAAAAAAATAGAATATTGCCTGGCACAATGTAAGTGCCCAATAAATGTTAAGCCATTATTAGTAGTAATATTATTGTCATTATTATTACTTGGCCATCCTATGGCCTGAGTAAATTCCTAGAAATTCTTTATTTTCAATAAAAGCCCACAGAATCTAGAAAAGTATTTCTAATTTACATACACGAATTAACATTCACACATTTATTTCTATCCAAATTGTCTCAGAAGTTAACAGTCTAATTAAGAATAACAATTTCAGTATTTTACTCTGGAATAAAACAGCTCATGCAATGGATGTCTGATCATATCACTATAGCATTTAAGTAAATTTCAATGACTTGATGTCACTGAAATGACTGAAGATTTTCATTTTCATCTTCAGGAATAAACAGAAAGTCCAGGTACAGTAAGTAGTTAGATTATAAGAAGTATACAATTAAATCTTCAAATACAGGCTTGCTAGCCTTCTAATCACATCTGGCGGATACTTCATAAAAAGACAAATATAGTAAACAGTAAAATGCAGACTGGTCCTATGCCCTATGACAAGCCCACCTTGCCCAACAACAGAAAAAAACCCATCACAATAAAAAGATCCTATTCAACTCATGTAATAAGACTCCTAAGAGGCAAAAGACTTGACAGTTAATGGTTGGCATTTAAGACTACACTGCACATTCAAATATGTTTGCATCAGTTGAGTTTTTATAATCTGAACAGCAATTACATCCAGTCTTCACCTTTCCTATTGCTAAAGAATGTGACAACGGAGGATCAATCTCAGAAGTAGGAGCAGCAAATGACAAGCCATGACAGTGATGTACCACATTTGGTAATGATGCTCACACACTTGAGTTTCATCTAAAGCATGAAACTTCCCAATTCCTGGAACAGGGTTTCCTTTGTTAAAATCCCCTTCTCTTCTAGTCTTTGTTTCTAAAATTAGCCATATGCCTTTGCAGCAAACCAGGGAAAGCTGTGTTGAGGGTTACAACTTCCAGATAATCAGGTCTTCTGCCACAGAGCGCAATGCACTTTTTTTTGCATATATTAAGAAAATAATCATTTATACCATAAAACTGACCATTCATTTCCAGAAAGATAATCTCCATTTTACCCATCTTCATTTAAATCAAATGAAACCATTCCTTAAGTCACCCGAGAGCAACAGATTAACACACAGAACAAGCTGCCTTAATACCCAATGTGATAACCCCCCCTCCCCGCCCTCTACACACACAACCCCCACCCCTGTTGTAGCCTTAAAAATTTCTGACCAAAATATTTAGCCTGAGTACAATTCAGTAGGCAATTCCCTTTTGAGAAACATGATCATTTCTTTAATTTTTATATTATAACCATTGGGACGGATTATGAAATAACTTTGTAAGAGAGATGTTTTTAGTACAGGTTAGGAAATTTCAGACAATGGAAATGGATGATAACTTAAGGACCAATTTCAAAATCAAAACCAGCTTCAAAATATTGTCTTTACCAATTTAAGATTGAAAAATCGGCTTTGTGCTCACCAGGTTTATTTTAATTAGAAGGGAAACTGAAATGAATATAAATATATAACCAAAACCTCTGGACAAGGCTGGGACAGAAGGGACCAACTCTGTAATGCTCACTAATTTAATATCACTCCAAGAACTCATTTGTCCTAGTAGTGTTCTTGGTTAATCTGGGAATGGAGAAAATATGTTTTTAAAATTATATATCTATGTGTAGTCTTTAGATACAAAATGAATAAATATTTAGATTCCATGATAAAGAAAAACCGTGGAATAAATTCCTGTCTTTGTAAGTAACTGTATATACAATGAATGTTTTCTGCCTGACTCCTAATCTTTTGTCTATTAAGAGTTCTTCAATGTGCAATTTATAGAAGGCAGTAGCTCATATTACCTTAAAGGAGCGCTGTTTAGCTTAGAATCAGCCTTTCCAGACACTCTGCTCCCTGAAAAGCCTTCACACTTGTGTGTATAAATAGCTGAGAATACAAGTAGGTGCACATGTGCAAAAAAAGTACTTGTCTAAAGAAGAGCTAAGTAGCTTTACAAATCAAGTCTAAAACCAAGAAAACAAATTGCTATTCCCCAACCCAAAAAGCACATCTAATGAAAAAACTGCTAAGCCCACTATGAAGAGGTGGCAGCTGTAAACCCACGTCATCCAACGTCATGCTCTAAGCATCTAGTTGTTCTGTGAACCAGCCAACAGAACACTAAATCCCTCCATGTACATACGGTTAAATGCAAGCTTCTGATTTAGCTTTACTCTCTAGTTAGAAGCCAGACTACACCGAATAATGAAGAATTCCTTAGAGCTATGCTGTATCCAAACTGCCTCATTCTACCCTGAAGAAGAAACAAGTGCCCAAATGATAATATGCATTAAGGACCAACCAATCTAAATTTCTGAGGTCTTCCACCCGGATAAGTTCAAGCACTGGTCCACTGAGAGCTTTAATGAAAGGAAAATTACATATTGACTGCTAACAGCTTACATATTCAGAGCTAGGGAGTAAGATTAAAAACTAGAGTGTCAATGCGGTGCTGTTAATAAGCATGGCAGATTTTCATTTAATTCTTAACTAAAACCTGGCCCCATGGCATCGGCCCACGGAGTGATGAGGTGCCCGTGTACGAAGGGATCTTTCATTTTTCCACCACTTCTAATCTAAGAGCCTTTTACTTAACATGTATACTGTATCTGTTTACAGACTATAGGTGGATATAATTTAAAAACTTGGTTTAATAAACATTTAATGCCCCCCCCCAAAAAAATAAGCATGGCGGAAAAGGGACTATACAGAACGACTAAAGAAGCTGATTCTTTAGATGTCCTTTGCTTTTTTAAAAAGTAACGAGTGCAGAATTTTCTCCAGTCAAAATCTGAATACTGGTTAATGCATGTTTTCTCCTCCCCAATTATGAACCCCGTTCCCAACGTCTGTCATTGCCTTTTTAAGCCTAAGAAAGAAATAAAACAACATGGATAGACTACCCATTCCTATTTATGAAAAGAGAGGCATATTCTAATAGTCATAAGGCAATGTGTTTAAGAGCTGCACCTGAACTGGTATTCTCAAAACTGAAAATACAGTTGCTAATTCCACTCAACTTGCAGGATGTATCCATGTGCTTCCCAAATCGTTGGTTGTCACTCGAATGGACCACAGTGATCCCATCATGCCTTGAGGCAGCACTATACTGCACATACTACGTATTTTGAAGAAATAACATCAAGAGGCAAAGGACAGCCTTTCAAACATCGGTTCCTTACATAAGCAGTGATGGTGCTTTATGGCTCCCTTTTAAATCTCCTCACATACCAAATACCTCCAAAATTAGACAAAAGAGGGCCAGAGGCAAAGCTCCATGGTGAATTGCATTTTTCAGATGAGCTTTCAATTCACTGGTTTTTAGTTTCCATTTCCTGATTTACTGAGGAGTAAATGTGAGAATCATCCAACTGATGACAAAATAGAACAAGAAAACGGGATAAATGGCCAGGGCTTTGCGGTTTGGAGGCTGGCTATCGGCCAGAAAAGCTGTAGAGGCTAAACAAAACAAACAAAACAAAATGGAATCTTTAGTATAATAAGATTGTCACAACCACTAACATTTACTACACTTTAATGTGCTTGGCATAGTCTGGAACACAGAATTATACAAAAAGCTCAGTTATATTTGTGATCTTCAGAGAAAAAGGCATTCTGCAGCATAGTTTTCCAGACAGTTGAGAGCTACTTGTTTTCAATACTAAACTTTGAAAGTTTTCGACCATTTCACATGAAAATCTCTCTAAAAGGAGCTTCCTACCCTTTTTGAGAAGTTACTGACCTGTGCCGAATACACTGAGAAAGATGTATAAAGCGAGTTGCTCCTATGGCAAATGGCCTCATACTGCTGTGCTTTTTGAGTAATTGTTCTCATTATTAAGTTATTGGCTCTTTTAGATGCCATTCTTCTTGTCCACCCAGGAAATGAGACTCATCCTTTTACTCATTAGTGATCACCCTTCACGGGCAATCTTTCCTGAACAACCATCTTGTATCCTGCCATCCCAGGTGGAACTGCCCACTTACCGCCTCTGTGTCCCTACCATACCCTGCACAGACTTCCATCTCCCACCTGGGACGCCTATTGCCCTTAAGTGTTTCCCTGTCTGGCTGTTCCACTAAGTTCTGAACTCTGAGGATAGAGACCATGCCTAGCAAAATGCCTGACACATAGTTTGTGCTCAAGAAATATCTGCTGAATTAAAAAATGGAATGCCTCTCTCTCTCTTCTAAAATTCTACTTTCTGAACTGCCATAAGCCTGCACACTGGATATTTAGAACTACAAGTATGGTAAATTATCAGACTCTAAGTGAGGGAATGAGGGGGTTCTCCCGTGGGTAAAGCACTCGAGCTTAACACACAGTCTTCATAATATCAATTGTGGCATTCTCAGACCTTATTTTTGGGTTACTTCTTGGATTTTAACCATGTTTCAGAGCAAAGATATGTTAATGCACTTAAAAATATTAGGCAGTCTGTCTATCCCATGAAGTAAGAAGCCAGTGAACAGTTCTAGTTGAAGGTAGAATTTTAAGAGAATTTTAGGAATGCAACAACAACGAGCCCATAGCATTCACTGCCACCACTATAGGCTCTTCCTAATCTTTGGCAGAATTTTCTACTGAAGCAGAAAAGTACTATAGATGATATACCTAACAACCTATACTGGGAGGTAGTATAATACAGTTCTAAACAGATGTGTCACCTGCTTGGGTTTGAAACTTAATTCCGTATTCACTAGTTTTGTGTCCTAGGGCAAGTTGCTTAACCTCACTGGCTCTGTTCCTCATCTGTAAAAATGGGACTAATAATACTAGTTTTTATTTATTAGAGTTGTGAGGGTTAAGTGAGATAATGCATATAAAACACTCACAACAGTGCTTGCCTAGAATAAGCAATCTGTAAATGCTGGCTACTATTCTCATCATGATTAATTTGTCAGGAAAAAGCCCAAGTCATTTCTCAAGTCACCTATGCCTCATCCTATATGCTAGGATCTGAGCTAGGTCTAATGTAATCTCCTTTCCCGACCCTATCCATTATTTAAGAATAAAAAAGAAAGGATATGACTGTCCACATCTCAGAAGTCCAGATATCCAACTCAGATAAGATGGACAGCAACCCTATCATTGCCTACTTAGAGAAGAGGGTTCTATGGATGATACTGGCAAGAATCCTACCACTCACATATGACTCAGGAGTTACACTGCACCTCATCCGGTCTTCATCTCTAACTCATGTTTTTGTTTGCTTTGCTATTGTAGAGATAAGTACATTCTTACCTACTATAGACCAGGCAAACATGACGACCACCACAAAGAGCCGGACCATGAAGTTTATAGGTCCTGGCTCAGCCAAAAGCACCAACCGGCAAACCAGCATTGCCACTGTCAAGGGAAGTATACAGTAACCCAGCACACAGAGGCTCTGAAAAAAAGATCTAAAAAATAACATACATCTGTAAAGATCATAAATACAGTTTATTACACAGATTTCTATATATCATGGATTGTTACCTTCCTTCAAATACATACCTATACCCTAACATTGATTTTATGAGGAGAGCCTTCTGTATTAAGCATATGCTTTAATTTTTCTCTCCCCATACTCTTCCTCCTTTCCTCTCAAACTCCTAAGAGTCAACCATCTAGGGTACCAGATGATCTACTCTAATTCCTAGAGACTTCCTTCTCCCACCGAACCTCTAAGACAGTTGTTCTTAATCTTTTCTAGTTTAAAGACCTATTTGAGAATTTGTTGAAAGCTACAGACCATCTCTTACGCAAAATGGACATAATCTTCTAACACAAAAAAAAGTCTCCATATGATTTCAGGAGCTGGAGAGAGCATCTGAAGCTTATCATAGGACCCTAGATAATTTAAGGTAAGTTAAACTAGGTTATCCTTGTTCAGTGGGTTTAAGAGAACTTTCTCTTTAGCCCTCATTTATTTTCATTTTTTCTTTTAAAAAAATTCCTAACTAGCCAGACTTCATTAAAAATCTAAGATATGCTACCTGGCAAGGGAAAAAGTATATTTTAATAATACTCACATGTTTCCTCCAAGAAGTTTTGAGTTGAGGGTGATGGTAACTGCACCAAACCAGACAATGACAAACACTTCTGCAAACTGGGGCCCTCCATCCTTTTCACTATCTATAGAGCTTCTTTGAAGCATTCTGTGACAAGGAAATGGCATGAGAATTGCTTCATCTTTTACTTAGAGCAATAAAGTTAAGGCAAACTTTGAAACAGGAAGCTGTCCTAAACCTTACCTGAAGATCTGTAATATATAGGTTGTACGAAAGTAAAATGCCAGAAATATTCGGCAAGGCTCCCTTACTTCCAATTCCAAATGCCTCAGGACTACAAGGGTCACCTCACTTGGCCTTGTTCGGATGTGTAAATGGATTACTGAAGACCTTTTTGGTTAAGCAGAGGTTATAAATTGAAGGGTCAAATGTGACTCACTGACATGAGGTTGTCAGTCCGTACAAGACTTAAAATGGGTTTAAATTCAAGTGACAGTTTTTAAAATTGGGAGGTTTCACCTAAAAATATGTATTTCTGGATTTTCCTGAAAAACCTGAAGACTTTCTAACAGTGGGCTTACGTTCCTACATGGCAACAACTGGGAGCAGCTGACTGACATAGAAGCAGATCCCTTCACAAGGGGCTTCAGGTCACCAAATCAGGCACACATTTAGGTTACTTCTCTAGCCTCTAGACACATTTGCATTTGTAATCCTTTGGTTAAGGCTTTAGTTCTGACATTTATTATTTTTTTAAGATTTTATTTGAGAGAGAGAGCAGAGCAAGAGAGAAAGTATGAGCGGGGGGCGGGGAGGAGCATAGGGAGAGGAAGAAACAGGCTCCCCACTGAGCAGGGAGCACGACATGGGGCTGGATCCCAGGACCCCAGGATCATGAACTGAGCCCAAGGCAGACACTTAACTGACTGAGCCACCCAGGTGCCCCTAGTTCTGACATTTCAAAATGGAAACAGTCTATAAACCTATTTAGGTGATTTTTTTGAATCAAAACACAGATTATTACTAAAAGACTTTGCTTTAAAATGGAACAGCTAAACAGTCACTGAAATATTTTCTCTTTGTCTAAGAATTTTACAGACATAAACTGTTTTGAATTGTGGACTAGAACACTTGGACTGAGTGTCATTTTTTTTCCCCAGAAAAATAGTAACACCAAGCTCCCAATCTCTTTTTATTACATAGTATAGAGGAATCACATAGTAAGTCTCGCCCTGCTATGCCGTTTGCCGGGACAGGCTTCTGTATTCTACAGTTGTAAGTACTCCATTCTGAGTCCTGACAATCCGATGCAAGGAATGCTGGCACTCATCACTTGTCTAGAATCTCTACTGCTTCAGCATGGTATGATGGGAGAACATTAACGGGCCTCGAAGGCAGGAGATCCAGAGAGTGATCCTAGTTCTGTCACTAGGTGTATAAACTAGAGTAAATCACCTGATGTCTTGGGACTCCAGTTGTCCTCTCTGCAAATAAATTGGGTTAAACTACATAATCTCTAATGTTAACCTTTTAAAACTAAAAAAATATATGCTCAGTGATTCTACTATAAACCTGTCTGTCAAGGCACTGGAGTATTGCCCTTGATGTGGTTATTAAAGGCATAAGAAATAGCACTCTATGTTATTACCTAAGTTACATTAAAAATGGGAAGAGAAATCATTAGAAATTTGCTGAATTTAGAATCATAAAAGGTCAAGCCTGGAAGGGATCCTTAGCCATCTCCTTTTATAGATATGGAAGAGGAGACCCAGAGGGGTTAGGTGGGAAGAGATGTATAATAATCACAGAGGAAGAAAATGGGCAATCAAGGAAATCTGAGGTTGAATCCCAGGTCTACCACTGATTGTAGTGATCTTGGTTCAGTCCCCAATCTCTTTGAACCTAAGCTTGTTTGTCAAAAAGAAAAAAAGAGAAAGAAAATAATATTCTTGCTATGAGGATAAAATACAGAGAAGGTATGTAAAAGTTTTCTGTAAACCGGGAAAAATCATTATACACATTTTAGGGTTCTAAGTAGCCCAAAATCGCTTTGCGGATAGCACAGTCAGGATGAGAACCCAGAACTGAATCCTAATGCAGTATTTTTTTCCATGCTACCAATCATTATATTCCCCTTTCCAATGGAACTTCGCTCTTCTGTCTTCTCCAAGTACAATGTGTATGGAAAGCCTAATACTTTGAAACATGATCTTGCTTTGAACTCTACCAGCTCTACTCTAATTTATTCTCGTTCTCATCTGTATTATTATTAAGATTTAAAAAGACCTATGTTTGCAAATAAACAGTGCTTAAACCTACAGATATTTAATTCACTTAGTTTAATGATGGGGAGGTGCATGAGAGTAAACAAATGTCAGTTCAACAGAAATGGCTGAAACAGGCTAAGAAGTTATTGGTAAACAGAGAGGAACGCAATTTTCCTATCTTTAATTCCATCACTCTTTGAATTGATCTGGAAACCTGCTTCACTTTTTAGATTTAAATCATAAGGAGTACAATATGTCATAGAAGTCCTAAATTAAATATTCAAAATTCCCCTCAATTTTGAAACTCCACACAAAAAAAGTATAGTCTATCTCAAATGACAAAGGAAGGAAATGTAAGTACTTACAATGCAAGTGTCACACAAAGGATCAAAGGGCCCCATAGATCCCCTATGAGGCAAGAAAAAACAGAAGACTATTAAGAAACAACTACGTAGTATTTTCTAACTTTATTCCAATTATCTACCTCTCCCACTCTTGGAATTCAGACATCAAGGCTCCTTCTGTCTGCCCAAGCCTTCCCATTTCTCCTACCCCTCTACCTGCCCTCCCTGCTCCCCAATTCTGAATGCCCTTCTTCATATATCCTTTAAATTTTGTTGACTTCTTAGACCACAAATCACCTCTCTCTCACCTACTAAGCCACATTCCAGCATGCTATAAAGACCAAGGGGCTGGGAGTCAAAAGACTTAGGTGCCCCACCTTCAGAAAGACTAGAGCCAAGTCACTCCACAAAACTGAGACTACATTAGACAAGGTAAGTATAATCAGGCTCACCTCAAGAATATGAGAAATGAAGCTTAGAAGGAAGTGACTTCCCCAAGTTTATATAAATAGTTAGGTATGGAGGGGGGACCAGACCCTTGGTCTTCTGAGTCCTACTCCAGAGTTCTTTCCACTCTGCCACACTGCTTCCCTTCTATAATCCATTACACTGAACTAGTATGGAATTGCTGTTCTTATAGGTGAAAAAACAGGCCAATATTGGTAATTTCATAAGGTCAAACCTTAGCAAATAACATGAAAGCTTTTGGAAAAGTATAAAAGGCTCTGCCAACATCAGGTCTAAGCACAGCGGTTCTCAATTAATAGCTGTTAGGTAAATTAATCAGCCAACAGTTCAGTAACATACAGCCTACAGCAAAATTACCTTCCTCCACTAATATGAAAAAAGACATATACACCATTTCTAACTTTAACCTCTTACGTACATAACTTTAAAGAAGTATGCATATGTACATACTTATATTGGTTTTTTTTTCACATTATATATGTAATTTTGACACCACTGAGGAAAGTTTGGAAAAGGTATAAAGAAAAATTATAATCCTACCACTCTGATAAAATATTGTTTTTCTTGTTAAATTTTTGAACTTATCAACTAAAAAAGTGAATTCAAGTACAACTGACATTAATATACTGGCTTTTAAAAAAATATACTTAGGTTTTTTTTAATTCATAAAAAATCTGTAACAGTATTTTAAAACTATTTTCTTATTTTAGCAGAATATATATATATATTTAGAATATATTCTATTTTTAGTAGCATATATTCTATTTAGTAGAATATATATATATACCTTAATAGAATATATATATATATCACAAAATTTACCATTTTAGTCACTTTTAAGTGTACAGGCTTTGGGTACATTCATTGTTGTACAACTTTTTTTTTCATTGTTGTACAACCTTTGTATCATCCATCTCCAGAACTTTTTCACCTTCCCAAACTAAAACTCCAACCTGTGAAATAATAACTCCCATTCCCCACTTAGCCTCCAGCAATCATCATTTTACTTTCTATCAATTCAACTACTCTAGGAACCAAATATAAGTGAAAAAACGTATGTCCTTTTGTGACTGGCTTATTTTACTTAGCACAATGTCTTCATGGCTAATCCATGTTGTAGCCTGGATCAGAATTTCACTCCTTTTTAAAACTGAGTCATAGTCTATTAGTATACGGCATATGTCATGGTGTATATACCACAATTTGTCTATCCATCCGTCCACCTTCTGGCTATTGTGAATAAGGCTGCTATGGACATGGGTGCTCAAATATCTGCTTGAGTTCCTGCTTTCAATTTTTGGGTATATACCTAGAAGTAGAATTGCTGGATCATATAGTAATTCTATGCTTAATTTTCTGAGGAACCACCATGCTATTTTGCACAGCAACTGCGCCATTTTACATTCCCACTAGCAATGCGCAAGGGTTCCAATTTCTCCACATCCTCACCAATATTTGTGATTTCTGTTTCTTTGATAACGGCCATCCTATTGGGTATGAAGTGATATCACATTGTGGGTTTTTTTAAATTTATTTTTAAGTTGTGAATTTTTTCCTTGCCACTTTACCAAGGGCTATGCTAACAGGGCAGAAGTGCAAATTTGGGCCATGACTGACTTACCCTTTGTGCCAGCCTATGTGTCTATCCCCACAAGGTCTGGGAATGGACCTTAACACAAGACATAGCTAATCATCATCACTAATCGGCAAGATAACACACTGGTTCTGCACTGTCACTGAAGCAAACTTGCTTTGGACTGAGCCACAGCAGCAGTTGAAAGAGTATCCTCACATCTGGGATAGCAGTGGTAGAATGGAAAGGGCAATGAACTTGAAAACTGGGTGCTAGTCCTGCCTGTGTCATCTTGACCAGACACTCAGCTTCTCTGAGACTCATTCTCTTCATCTGTAAAACAGGAGCAATAATTCCTACTTCACAAGGTTGTTGTAAGGATTAAAAAAGAGGTGTGTGTAGGGGAAGGGCAAGGCACTAGAGTAACAGCTAACATTTATGGGGTGCCTACGAAATGTCAGATGCTGTGCGAGGTGGTTGATATGCATTATCTCTAAGCCTCACCAGCAGATACACGGTATTATCTCCACTTTAACAGAGGAAGAAACTTGAGCCTCAGAAAAGTTAACTGTCTTATCCAAGATCACATAGGTAGTAGGTAGTGATGGAACCACTATTCAAACCCAGATCTGTCCATGCTCTTTCCACTATATACCAGCAGTAGCTAATCATGTCAGCTCCAACCCACAGTGTACTATGTTAAAAAAGATTCTGACACTGCATCCATGTGCCACATATTTGACACCCCTACATTACAGCTGAAATGCTGCCAAAATAGAAGGTACACTCATGTACAACATCATTGTTACTACTCTCAAACAACTGATTCAATTTTTCTGATAAAGGGTACTATGAATGCAAAAATAAAAGGTCTAACAATTTTAATAATAAATTCTAAATAAGAGCATAATTTATTGCAAACACTGTTTTGATAGACCTCGTGGACAAAAAAAAAGCAGTCAGCAGACTAAGTAGTAGTTCTGCAAATAGAAATGTCAATAAAGGTATTAATTTGTTAATCCTTAATGGGTATTAGCTGTTATTCTAATTTAATATTCAAACATTTTGCCTTTCCCTTGGAGACTGTCAGTTCTGTGGTTGAATAAAGTCCCTATGTGTTTGCCGCTTCCAGAAATATTTTTTTCAGTGGCAGGTGAAGATATACAGTCTATATTTACTGATGAAGACAATATATTAAGCAAAATCTTCCAATCTCTGAAATTCCATTCTAAATGTTTAAATCCTTCAGAATGTTCATTTGCATGTTCATTTATATATTTTTTCATTCTGCAAAATGTCAGTTTTCTTATCACAGAAATTTAGCCACAAAAAAGTATTTATGATAAGGTACGCTGAAAAATAGCAAATCCTCAAAAAACTCATACTTACAATCTCTCAAAAGAGTATTACTTTTCCTTGGGTACAAAACATGCATGAATTTTTTCCCAACAGCTTTTAGATCACGCATCTGAAAGACAGAAACAACTTGTTGTATTGTCATGACCAAGGTTACCAAGTAGTCCCCTCACTTAATTTGCTCAAATTTCTTTTATTTTAACCTCCTGGGTTCATTGAATTTGGGAGCTACAATTCCAGTTTAACTCCTTCACTATACAAACAAACAGAAAGGTAGTGTGTTTCTTAACTTTTTTCTCTTTTTAATTTATTTAAATTCACTTAACTAACATATAATGTATAATTGGTTTCAGAGGTAGAGGTTAGTGATTCATCAGTCTTATATACTACCCAGTGTTCTATTAACTTTTTTATTAACTCCTTAAGCCAACATTTAACTCTTTACCACATCTACCAGCTCTGTTTTGATTTTTAAAGCTCTGTAAAAGAGAAATATAGCTGTCCCAATATATTAAAGAAACTAAAATAATATAACTATTAAAATCTACTCTGCAACACATGGCATCTGACTTTCAGTTCATAACTGATGAAGTCCTAAGGGCCAATTAGCCTGCTCCCCAGCTACCGCATTATATACAATATAAAACAAATTAATCTCCAACATTCCCAATTTAACTGGTAAATGAATCCTAAAAGCCAGATTTTTAAAAATCAAGACAGTTGAGGGGCACCTGGGTGGCTCAGGTCACGATCTCACAGTCCTGGGATCGAGCCCCCTGTTGGGCTTCCTGCTCAGCAGGGAGTCTGCTTCTCCTTCTCACTCTCCCCCTGCTCCCACCCCATTCATTTTCCCTCTCTCTCTCAAATAAATAAAAAAAACCTTTAAAAAAAATCATGACATTTGAGGTAATACAAATATAACCTGCCAAAATATAGTTGAGATAATTCTGTCCTGACTTTTTTACCTAGAAATTTCTTCATGTCATTAACAGTTCTTTGTAAATACATTTTGAACAGCTGTTTAGTATTCCATTACATAGATGTAACATAATTTACTTAACTGATATCCCCTCTGTTGTTCAATTTCCCATTATAAGGAATGCTGTAATAAACATCTTTGTATATTAATATTCTTCTGTATTTTGAAAAATATTTTTAAAAAAAATTCCATATACTGCATGTGGAGCAGAATTATCAGCTTAAAAATATTCGAACATTATAAGATTCTTAATACTCATTATGGCAAAACTGCTCTCCAAAAAGGCTGTACCAAATTATTCTCTAGGGGAAAATCTTAAATTTCAATAAATAAGATATACTGAAAATCAGTGAGCCAAATAAAAATAATTACAAAGTACTATAGTTATTTAGTCCCATGATACTGAATAGAAGTTCTCTCAGCTAGTCTCACTTACAATGGTATTCTGAACAGATTCATTTAATGTGGAGCTGTCAAATTCCCGAATGTGAGATCTCATAGGAATGGTGATTTCTCCTTCCACGGGGATGTCTTGTGAGATCGATATATCGGAAAGGCCTGCAAACTGAGAATAGTTGGGAAAAAAAAGTAAAGTCTATAATCAACTGCATTCCTCAAAGACAACATTTCCTAGTGAGTAGGGACTACTTCTTTTTGTAAGGATTTACACAATTTTTCAAGTAACGTATTAGTTTACCAGACATTAAACAATACGGTCAACTAAAATTCTCAAATGCTTATTTCTTTTAACTTAAAGAAGGAGATGGCATATGATGGAAAAAATTACGAAGTAAATGGCATAGACACTTTCTTGCCCTCAAATATTTGCTTTCTTTCAAGCATGAAACCTTCACGTGGCACAAGCTAACAAGACTGCAAAGCTATTTGAAAGCGACCTTTCGGCAACCACATCTTCACAGAGCCACGATTCTGTAGCTCTTCTGCTCATTGGTAGGCTCCGGTGGCCTCTGCTGGCTAGAAAGGAGCATTAGGTGAAGCCTAACGGGAAACTGGGAAGAACAGGGAAATAGCAAAATAAATCTTGATTTCTACTCTTTTTACCAGGTTACCTAGCAAACCAGATCAAATAACATTTCCAAAGTGAATTACGAGATTGCAAGCTTATAAACTCTTACGTTCATCTGCCAAATTTTATTATTCTAAAACTCTGAAATCTTCAAGTTCCTAAGAAAACAAAAGCAATCCCTTCTCACATGGATTTTGGCCCAACAGGCACAATATTTAGAGGGTAGCAGTTGTAGGTAAACCAAGTACAAGACAGTATACTGAAATTTTAGGAAGAATAATGTTGCTCAAAGAACTTATGAAAAATAAATTCTCAAACACACTTTTAATAAGAAATGCAAATTAAAGCTACTTGTAATAAAAATTTTTCCCTGTTAAGACTGGCAAAAATCGGAGCGCCTGGGTGGCTCAGTTGGTTAAGCGACTGCCTTCGGCTCAGATCATGATCCTGGAGTCCCTGGATCGAGTCCCGCATTGGGCTCCCTGGTCAGCAGGGAGTCTGCTTTGCCCTCTGACCCTCCCCCCTCTCATGTGCTCTCTCTCATTCGTTCTCTCTCAAATAAATAAATAAAATCTTTAAAAAAAAAAAAAGACTGGCAAAAATCCAACAGTTTGACAACATACTCTGCAGGTGAAGCATTCACACACATCTGGTACTACAGTCTACTGAAGATAAATCTGGCAATATCTAGCAAATTTATATATGGATTGCCCATTGACTAAGCAATGCCACTTTTAGGAGTCTAAAGACAAAGTGGCAAAAACACAAAAGGACATATAAACAAAACTACTTATTTAACACTACTTGTAAAAGCAAAATCCTGAGAATAATCCATATGCCCATCAACAGAGGACTACTTGAATAAAGTATGGGATATGCACATAACAGAGTTCTATGCAGCTGTAAAAGGAATGGGAGTATCTCCAAAGAACTATTTATGGAGTGTTAAATAAAAAAGCAATGTGGAGAAAAGTTTGTATAATATGCTACCATTTATCTAAGAAAGGAGGGAATACAAATACACACTCTCACACCTGAATGTTATCTTTTAAATGTAAGAAATGTGTAAGAGATAAATCATGCAGTGTGATGTAAGTCATATGTAAGAAGTAAGTCATATGATTTTTTTTTTTAAAGAGGCTTCCTATTAAGGAAAGTGGGGAATAAGGTAGAGAAGACAGGGAGAGAAGTTAGGCTTCTTCAAATACAAGTTGTTCTATATATATGACTTGAGAGCTTGAAATCATATAAATAGTTGCAATAATTATGAAACAAAATTAAAACTTAAAAGAAGTCCTTAAGACTGAAAGAAAAATGAAACAAATGAACCTACTGTACGTTGAATTAAATGCACAACCACACAGCAACTATTTCAAGTGACTTTAATATACTGTAATTTGACTTGTGATTAGAATGTAGAAAGCTGGAAAGAATACCCCTCCCGCTAGAACGAGAAAAAGTTAGATAAACTACAAAATCATAACTTTCCTTGAACCCATCAGAGAGTGGAGGTTGTAGAGCAACCAAGCAGCCTGATTAAAATCTAAGAAAAGAGAGGTACTTCCAGGAAAACATGGGACATGAGCACTACTTTGCACATTGTATCATAACACAGAGAATGACACTAGGCATCACACAGATGCTTAAGAATTCTGCTAAAATTTAGAATGAATTGCTAAAGGCCAAGCATGGACTAGTACGAGGGTACAGAGCCCCTGGAAGCATCAGACACAAGGGGAGTTCACACCCACTTGCAGAGTCTTCTCCACCGACTTCCACTGGGTCTGGGTTTTGGGGAAGGGAGGAGCTGCCAATTCCGAGAAAAGCAAAGAGCCCTGCTCAGACTCTTCTCCCCTACAGAACAAGAGCCTTAGAGCTACTGGGAGAACTCTGTTGTCTCCAGGGCACAGGCGAAGACCTGCTGTGGCTGGGGAAAGGGAAAAGACAAATCTGTCTACTGCTGGGGGAGGGATAGGAAAACATCCTGAGGCCAGACCACGACAGTCTCCTTCAGCTGGGGAGAGAAACAGAATCAGTGAAAGTCCCACTCAGGAGACACAGGGATACACGGTTTACCTAAGGCTGAGGCTGGACCAACACAGCAAAGAATCCCCCCTCCCAGCCCTACCCCCCAGGGTAGCAAGTATGGAGTCAAAACCAACAGCAGTCTACCGCTAGGGGAGGGCCTAGAGGTTGGAGAGAGAACCACTATCTTATGCAAGGGCAAAGGGAAAATGCAGAGAGCTGAGAATAGAACAGGAACGTTAGGAAAAACACAGGGATGATCTAGCACTCACCCCAAGCACAATGTAATAGAAGAGGAATTTGAAGTTGGTGACACACTGAAGGTTCCCATAGCAAGGATGAAACCCAAGCACAGTTCAACTCCTGACCAGACTGATTTAATCCCCACAGGAAAACCTTGGCAGAAAAGATGTGCCACTTCCAGGCAGTCTCTACTGTTCTATACATGATGGCCAGCATTCAATAAAAAAAATTACTCCCCCCACAATGAAGAAACAACCCACTATGATGAGACATAGCAATCAATAAAACCAGACAGACTCTGAGATGCCCCAGATGTTAGAATTACCAGAGGAAAATTAATAGGACTATGATTAATATGTTAAAGGCTCTAGTAGAAAAGGCATATGCACAAACGACGGTGAATTTCTGCAAAGAGATGGAAACTGTAAAAGTCAAACGGTAATCCCAGAAATAAATGAACACAGTAACAGATGAAGAATGCCTTTGACAGCTTTATCTGTAGATTCAACACAGCCAAAGAAAGAAATCAGTGATAGGTCAGTCAAAATTATCCAGACTAAAACAAAAAGAGAAAATTTTAAGGAGAAAAAAATATATCAAATCATTGTTGTACACCTTAAACTTATACAATGTTATGATGTCAATTATATCTCAATAAAAGTTGAAAAAACAAACAAAACCCAAAACAGAATAAGCATCCAAGAGCTGTGGGTCAATATTAAATGGTCTAATATATATATATAATTGGAATCCCAGAAGAGTGAGAAAATGTGTCTGAAGAAATATTTGGAAAAATAATGGCTGAATATTTTCCAAAAATAATGACACACATCAAATGACAGATCCAAGCCCAGAAAACCTCACTCAAGATAAATACCTAAAGACAAAACAAAACCAAAAATCCACAAACCTGGACACAAACTACTGAAAACCAAAAATAAAGAAAATCCTGAAGGCCGCCAGAGAAAGACACTGCATTCAGCGGGACAAAGATAAATAACAGACATTTCACCCACAACTACCCAAGCTAGAAGAAAATGGAAATACCTTTAGAATGCTGCAAAAAACTGTCAACCCAGAATTCTAAACCCTTGGAAAAATAGCTATCAAAAATGAAGGCAAAATACTTTTTTCAGACAAGCAAAAGCTGAGACACACACTACAAGAAATGTTAAAGAAAGATCTTCAAGAATGTGATATCAGAACGAAACTTGGACTTACACAGGAAAATAAGATCTCCAGAAGTGGGTAAAATGAAGATAATTATAAAAAATTTTTCCTGTTTTAAATTATTCTAAAAGATGATTGCCTAGAGCAAGGGTCACAAAATTTTTTCTGTAAAGGGTGCCAAAAGTAAGTGTTTCAGGCTCTGAGAGCCATGTAGATTCTGTTGCAACTACTCAACTCTGCTGCTGTAGCATGAAAGCAGTCCAAGACAAGACATAAACAATTAATAAAACCTTATTTATAAAAATAGGTAGTGGGCCAGATTTTAAATCATAAAAATATGACATTTAGGAGATAACTGGAAATTTGAACACTGACAAGATATTTGATATTAGGGAATTACTAATTTTTTGGATGTACTAATGATATTGTTATGTTCTTTAAAAACAGACTCCTTTTCTTTTAGAGATACATGTTAAATATTTACTAAAGTAATGATGCCTAAGATGTGCTTCAAAATAGTATAGAAGGGAAATGGATAGGGCTATAGAAGAAGAAAGAAGACTTGCCATAAATTGGTAAGTACTGAAGGTTAGGTACATAAGGGTATATTTTACCATTGCAGTTTTGTATACCTCTTAAACTTTTCTTAATAAACAGTTAAAAAAAACAAACATTCCTAATTTTAGGGGCCATCTGAGTTCTTTTTATTCTTGCCCCTCCTCCAACCGAAATGAAACCAGAATACAATCCTCTATATCTTAGCATTAACAGGAAATATATGGATAGAGGAACATACTAAAAATACCATGAGAATACAATCAGCCAAATACAGAAAGTGGAGAGTTCTACAAGACAAATGACTGAATTTAAACAAATAAATTACATTAAAAACAGGAGAACATTTAATAGTAAAAGAGACTTATGAGACTTATTATCCAAATGCAATCTGTTGACTTTGGATCCTGATATGGACAAACTATAAAAACACAGGTTTTTAGAAAATTGTGAGATGATGAGCAGAGATTAGATGATACTAAGAAATTATTAGTCTTGTTATTGTGGTAACAAAGAAAACGTCCTTCCCTGTTAGTGAAACACAC